GGGGGGGTGGACTGTCCCCTGTGAATAACCTTTGCACTTCCGGCGGCGGTGCCGGAGGCTGGAGAGGCGTGTCGGCCCGACGGCCCACCCGACTTAGCCCGCTCATGTGCCGACTGCTGCTACACTGCTAGCAGCACTGGACAGATACGCGTGCATGCGAGCGACCTTTTCATTGACTGCCAGTTCATGTACCCACCGTTCTCCCGCCCCATCAGCGTGCTGTACCTACAGCAGCCAGCGCTATCTATGTAGTATATATATATACACCGAGCGCACCTGCGCAGGTGCAGCCATTGTTTTGTGTGCTCCTATTCTTTTTTTTTTCTTTTTTTCGCGTGAAATCTTCTTGATGACAGAATCAACGGGCAACGCTAATGGAAATATGCAAATGAGCCGTTGGTCATTTCATTTCTGCCCTGCGGTGCTGGCGGTGCCGGTGGCGGCTGCTGCTGGTGGGGGGTGCGCCGACAGCCAGCCCCGCTAGAGACACAGACACCGCTGCGGCGGCCGCAAGCTGCTCCGCATTAAAGTTGCAGGCCTCTGGCCAGCACAGAGAGCTCCTCCTCTATATGCCTTTGTCGGCCGGGTAGCTCGGCACACCCGGCGCGGCCCGGCCTGGCGGGCCCGTGTGCAGCTTAGCTGCCGCCGGCGCGAGAGCCGCAAACCCGGCAGGAAGGCAGATAACCGTGCGAGGGACGCTGAGAAATATTTAATGGCGTGCTGTAGGCCCGGTTACCACCGCGGCGACCACCCCCGCTAATACATCGCTTTAGTGACCCCCGGCAGAGGGACCGGCAGGGGGTGAAAAATGTCCCAGTACGCCTATATGCGGGGCGGTTAGGGGCGGCTCGGCCGTCCCGGCGCGGGGCGCGGGCAGCCATCTCACATGACGACTGCGCCTGGGTGGTGCGGCGCGACGGGGTTCGGCGGACGCCAGTCGGAGGGGCAGAGAAGGCCGCACGACGACTCGCACGGGAGCTGCACGTCGCCGTCAGCGGGGACCGCGCACCCACGATGAGTGTCGTAATCCTGATTTCTAACGTGAGGGTCGGGAAGGGGGTGCCCCAAAGTATTTTATCTCCACCATTTAATATTATTAGTGCCTCGCACGCGGGTCCGGGGGGCGGGAGCCCCGCATCTGGCCGGCTCCACTCGTGCAGCCCGCGCCGCCCCCGCCGCCCCGCGCACGAGCAGGAAGAGGAGATAAGGAGACGGCCGGAAATCGGGAACACGACGGCGGGGTGGGGCCGCGGCCGGGCCGGGCGGGGCGCGCACCACTGCGGGGAGGAAATGGCAGCGCTGATGACTCTGTTGCCGCCTGCTGTTAGCCCCGGCAATCTTTTCCCACTTTTTGCGGGTCGGCTGCGTCTGCCGCGGAGGGTTCAGTGGCTCCGGGCGGGTAGGCCACAGGCGAGGCCACAGGCCACCCGCTCTGGTCTTCTGGTCTGGGAATGTTTTCCGCGTCCTTTTTTTTCGGGCAGAGGGCGAGTTTGTGTCTAAGCCCGACGAGGTGTCACGGGCGCCTGACACGCCCACCAGAGGGAGCCTGACCCTGACGCCGCCGCCGGTGACGGCGAAAATCGGGTCCAGATGACTGGCGAATTTGTCGCCCGGCGCTCCGGCCGCGTCCTCCGGGGACGAATCTCGTAAAATCTGGCAAAGCGTCTTCAGAGCTGGCATGGCGAGGGCGCGCCGAAGGGCGGCGGGTCCTGGGCGGAGGAGGGCTCCCGCCCGCCCGGAGGGCTGCGGAGGGGCGCACGGAGGAGGCTCGGGCGGGAGCAAGGGAGGGCGGAGGGCGGGAGCCATCTCCCCGGCTTGTCTTTTCGTCTAGCCTCGGGGTGACATGCTATCGCTCTCAGGGCAACATTCCGTCTCCCGTAATGAGCCCGAGCCTGCTACCCCTCCCTCCCAACCCTCCCCCTCCCTCCCCTCCACTTTCGCTCGCTTAAAAATCCTCAACTGCCGCCCTCTCTCTTATATAGCTGTGACCGCCGCCACGCGGCGCCACCGCCGCCGTTACTCCTCCCCCTCTCCCCCTCAACTTAGTCGACGTTTCATTTAGACGAATGAGATGTACATTTGGTCCCGGCCGAGCCGAGGCGGCCGAGCTGCCGCGGGGGTGCGGCCGCACCACCACCGCCACCGCCACGACGATCCCCCGCCAGGACATAATCCCCGCAGATTACTTAAGGCTGATGGATTCGGACGTGTTTGAGGACGCGGCTGGCGCTGCACCGGGAGCAATCTGCACCACGCCGGAGGAGAGAGAGACAGAGAGAGAAAGAGAGAGAGAGAGAGAGAGAGGCGGTGGGACTTCATACCGTACTTACGGCCGCCCAGCCTGGGGCCCCGCCGGGGTCGCCGCCCATGCCAGCCCCAAACTAACTCCCCCGAATCTCCTCACAAGTTTGCGACGCACTCCAACATACTCGTCGCGCCGAGCACAACGAGATACGCACACAAGTGGGGGCGCACATAATGAGAGAGTGTCTCGACATGTTCGGAATAACATGGCAATTTGCCTCGACGACGCCCCTCGACGTTCTAGAAGACTTCTTCTGGAAATAAAAAAACACCCGGATATAAAATAGCAGACCAAAAAAAGACGGGGAGCAATTACGCAAAGTTAAAAAATTACTCCGTTTTCTTTTTGTCGTCTTTCTCCTGCAAAGAGCATCAGCTAGTAGCAGCTCCCGCATCGTCACCTCCCACGGGAACTAACGCGAGACCCCGGCCCGGCCCTGCAGCCCAGCCTGCAAAGCCGCTTGGCACACTTCCACGCTTTTATCACACTCTTACTCCTATTAAGAGCCCCCCCCCCCTCTCCCCACCACTGATGACGGCGTGCAGCCCCTTGCCCCTTCCACCCCCGCCCTTAACGGTTAGTTTGAACCCCCGCCAATTTCACCCTCTCCCCCTCCACGCTCAACGACTGCCTTCTCTCCACCCAGGTACACACATTTCCGCACCAAAACGACCTATCCCGCTGAATTTTTCCCCTGTTTCTTCTGTTTCCAGCGTGCAACTGCAACGGCCACGCGCGCAAGTGCCGCTTCAACATGGAGCTGTGGAAGCTGTCGGGCCGCGTGTCCGGCGGCGTGTGCCTCAAGTGCAGGCACTTCACCGCGGGCCGCCACTGCCACTACTGCCGCGAGGGCTACTACCGGGACGCCTCCAAGCCCATCACCAACCGCTACGCCTGCAAGCGTGAGTAGTACCGCGCGACCGGCCGAGTTTGGCTCAAGTTTTAAAAGAACCAAGCGAAGCCCTTTTTAAAAGTTTTCTTTTCTTTTTATCGAGTCGCGTCTTGCGGTGTATCTCGGTCTAATCCACGCGTCGCCTGCTCGCGCACGCCCGGCGTGTCGCGGGGAGGACGTTACGTACTGCCGCACTGCTCGTCTGCCCGAACAGAGCCCCGCACACATCATTTTTTTTTTGCACTCAAACTTTCGCGCCGATAGTTCGAACGCTGATAAATCTTACACTGTAAAATTTGTAAGTCAACGTTCATGCCAGAAAACCATGCCTAATTTATCTTAGGTTTTTTTTTGTTTTTTTTTTAAAGGACCGGGTTTGGCAATAAGATGATCAATGACGGAGTCCCTCTTCATGATAAAGATAAGCCATAAAGTTGCAATTTTTGAAGTCAAACTATTCCATAGGAAATTGGGAGTGTGTAACATTTTTTTTATCAAATCGAAGTCATAATTAAAATTTTCAGTTTCAAACAATTAATTCGCGTCACTCACCTTGCCATTTTCAATGAAAGTTTTTAAGTTTTAAATGGTGTTAATGGTAGACAGATTCAAACTGCTGTTATACTGCACATTTTCTTGAGAGAGTGCGGGCTCTAAACATTTAAACGAAGGCAGATGTTGATTAAAGAGAGGTTTTGTCGCGAGCAATTAAAATCAACATTACGAATTGATAACGAAATGGTCAAGTTTCAAAAGTGCAAAAATACCAAACTGGAGGGTGGGGTTGCCTGGGCGGACGCGTGCCCACGCATCGTCCGGCTCTCATTACATGGCCCACGTGGAGCCTGGGAGGAGCGGAGGGATTGCGAGCGATGTCGCCATGGCCGCTGGAAGATGATGGTTAACATAGAAAATTAGCTATTTTTCTCGTAGTTTGGAGAGGTTATAGCCCGCTCTGAAAATGTAGGAGTCAGCTTCCAATTTTCGTTTTTCATGGGAGAAGTAACACGCGTGCTTTTGTCGCTCTGTTTGAGTGATGATTTTCGAATATTGCTTCATTTGCATGACGAACATCACCAAAAAGAAGCGATGATCTAAAATCATCCCCCATATGGAGAAATATGTTTTCAAATAGAGCGACGAAAACGAACATCGCTTAGTTGGAACGATAACCACCACTCTTTTTAGACGAGATGAATATTATTCCAGATTCCAGTGCGTAAGAAAAGTTTCACCTACTCCAGGTATCTTATTATTTTTTGAATATAAGTTATTGTTCAATATTTTTACTCCACTGCTACATGTAAACAACTGCTGAAAAGGGAAAAGGCCTAGATAAAGAGAGATGTGAGGAAACTTATATTGCTCAGCAGCGACAAGTCAAACATCACCTCATCATAAAGTAAAGAACGGAGCGTATACAGCGCGGAGCAGAGTGGCTAATTTCGTGAAGTTGTTTCTTCGCTCCTTACACTACACACTTTGCTCCTTTACTTTCCCGGGAGCGTGAGCAGATCGCGATGTGCCTACGACAGGCGTACAACCGCCGCGCCGCCACGGGCCGCCGCGCCGCGAGGAGAAGGAAAGTTGTCCCGCCGCAAACACCACGCTCCTCATTGTTTGCTAGGAGACAAAACGCTCCCCGCCGAGCAGTTTAGGAAACCATCAGCCGTCGGTAAGCAATATGGAAATGTCCCCCCCGAGCCGGCCGCGAGCCCCGAGCAGACTTCAATTGGCTTATTAATTTCCTCCCTTCGCGCGCCGCTTCAGCAGAAATCGCGAGCGTTCCTATAGTCGCACAGCAGCAGCAGCCTACGCCCCCGAAGATAAACGGGCGATATAAGATTAAATACCAAAATGGGTTAATGGATTCACGGCGCGGGCTGTCTGCCTTGCTCTGCCCGGCGCGCGCTATTCAAATAATCTGGTCCGCCGCGATGGAAAAAGCTATTCGAAATGACGCTCACAAGAGGGTAAGGGGGCGGGGGGATGCAAATCAGCCGCAGGGTGCTGTTGGGTGTCAGACTGATTCTCTTCATTCCAGCAAAAGTTTTCCCCGGGCCGACGGCGCCCCTTCTTCAATTCTTATTTGGTATTTATGAAAGGAACTTAATAACTACGAAAAGGAGTGCATAAGCAGCGGAGAGGCGAGGGGAAGGGGAGGCGGGCGAGGCTGCCTCTGTCGAGGTGGCAGGCGAGCCGGGCTGTCACAGATTGGCTCTGCGGTGCACAACTTTTCTCGACGTGACGTCAGTATTGAGTCCAAAGTCTCCGTCGAGTCCGACCAGCCCGCACCCGGCCTAGCTCGCCCCTTCCTCAACCCCCTTTTTCTAACGCGCGGGGTCACCGCCCCGCGACTTTACAGACGCGACCAACCCGGCAAAAGAAAGAGGGACTATACAACAAAAATATTTATTGAAAATAGTTATGGAAAACTTAAATTACACACTTTGTCGTTGCTCCACAGCGTGCGATTGCCACCCGATCGGCGCCTCGGGCAAGACGTGCAACCAGACGAGTGGCCAGTGCCCCTGCAAGGACGGCGTGACGGGAACCACCTGCAACCGCTGCGCCAGGGGCTACCAGCAGAGCCGCTCGCACATCGCGCCCTGCGTCAGTGAGTACTCGGCCCAGCGTAGCCTGTATGTATAGCGCCCCGCACCACGCGCGCTTCTCACACTTCTGTTGTTGTTTATTGCAGAGATCCCCAAGGTGTCCGCCATCCAGGCAACGGAGGGCGAGGATGACGACGACAGCGCGCCAAACCGCACCGGTGAGTACTGTACAGTGTAGTACCAGCTCAGGCGTGCTCCAGGCGCGTGGGCTGCATACCCCAGTGTGTGTTTGTGTGCACGACCAGGCAGGCATCCGTCATAGGACATGACGGACGGCCGACGGCTACGACGACGACGAGGACACCACTACCAGGAAGAGGACCGGGCCCAACTCCGTCGACATAGACGGACCATGGACTTATAAAACAAACGCCAGCCAGATACATTTACAGGACAAATCAGTTCGATGAAACCTCAAAACACGTTCGGGGGATCTAACCGGAAAAATTCTATACACCTTTTCAAAACAAGTATAAACAAAATACTTTCAACGATTGTGTATTTGTTTTGGTGGTCGAGAAAAGGGAGTGCGCTTTGTGTAGGTGAGAGGAGGGGATATGCCGGGGGTTTTGGGGGCACGCGTGGATTTAAAAAACACCGTGACCCCCCGCCCCCTCTCTCCCAACTGCCTAATCGGCATAGAGCTCCCCACCGCAGTATTCCGGCGAGCAGAGAATTATCGGAGGCTATTTAATTACTTCCAGCGCGACTGTAAAACAAAAGCGAGGCGGAGTTTTTTTTAATTTCATTTTTGGGGGGAGGGTGGAGGGGGATGTGCCCTATCCAGCGCCTCCCCCTCCCCCTCAGCGCACTTATTATCCCACACGTCGCCGGACAGGAAACCATCAGAGGGACAGGAGGAGTGGTTCCAAAGGTCCACAGGGAGGGGGTGGGGTGCGGCGGGACGGGGTGGGGCGGGGTGGGGCGGGCAGAAACAAATGACCCCCTTAGGGAGTTCTGGCACACGGGGGCTGCAGCCCAGCGCTCCGCGGCGCGGCCTTAGGCCGGGAAGCTACCAGGGCGTTAGCGGGGCCCCACCGCGATGGCCTCCTCTCGGGTTCTCCCCCGAGTCCCCCCAGGGCGTTGGTATACAGGTTACACAAACCACTGGCTCTCTGGATTTGCGCCAGATCCATTTCGGGAGTGGATAGGAGGCCTATAGGAGGCAGCGCGCCGTGCTTGGCGGCCGCGTTCCCTTCCAACGGCCCAACGGCGCGCGTTATGGGCGCGTTCGGAAAACTAAAGGTGCGCTGTAAGGGGAGGGGAGGGATGAGGGGAAGGGAAGCTTGGCTGCGAACATCGATATGAACATAAACACGACGTCGAGCTCATGAATGCAGGCATGGGGCGGCCGGGGTGGGGGCGCACGGCGCTGTGCGGAGCGGGGCAGGGTGGGAGGCGTTCGCCCCCTTCGGTTCGGTTCCGTGTGCAAATCGCTTGTTAACGAAATCGCTTTCGGGCGCGCCGATCTCTCACTCCGACGCGTCATTTCTCACTCCTCGGCTTATGCCCTCAGCGCGTATTGTTTCACGGGGCGGGAGGGGGAGAAGGGGGAGGGAATGGAGTATGTAGCGAGTCACCTCCGCCCTCCTAACGCACCCCGCCCTGCGCGGGGAAAGGCGAGGCGAGGGCGGGGCGGGGCGGGGGGCGCCAGACACAGAGAGACTAGAATTGGGAAACACGAATCATGCTGCTTGCCGGGCGGGAAGATAGACGATTCTCGTGGGCCCCTCGCTCTTACTACCGCGCGCGCGCTGCCCCAGCTTCTCCGCCGTGATGAGAGAGAGTGTGTGAGAGAGACAGGACATGATTGATTTAAACCCTACCGAGCACGTGCCCCCCGTCCGCCCGCTAGCGGAGCTGCTCCGGCAGCCAGCGCAGGCTCACAAGCCACCACCGCCCGGCCCTGCCCCGCTACCACCCCCGCACACACAACACCGCCCAATTCCTTTTCCCCCTTCTCCTCCTCGTCCTGCGGCGCGCAGAAACAACTGCCAGCGCCGATGATTTAGTCGCTCACTCCAACTTAGCGCGCAAGATTTGTTTGCGCCGGCTGCAACGTGTGGCGGCCCCGTTATAAAACAAACGTGGCGCCGCCTCTGCTGCGCCGCCGCTGCTGCGCCGCCGCTGCTGCGCCGCCGCTCCGCTCCGCCCGACCAATCAGATTACAACGCATAACGGCCGCCGCAAGGGATTGGCTCCACACAAACTTTTCCGCCCCTGTCGCTGCGTTCATGTGCTGTATGCGTGTGTGTGTGAGAGAGAGAAAGAGACGGTGGATATATTTTCTGTGAAAATGCACGAGCAGCAGCATCGGCAATATAGTGGTTGTACCACCGCGCGGGCACGCAGAGGACGGCGACGGCGCACACAAAGTTGTTGTAGTAGTATAGCGGAGCGGGTAGAGTGGCTGTTGACTGTTTTCTGCAACAGTGCGATCGAGCTCCGTGTAAAACAGTCGGAGCGGCGCGCGGCGGTCGCCAAACACAATGGCAGTAATGACACAAACAGTCCGCGGAGCTAGGTGCTGCTGCGCGGTGCTGCGCCGTGCTGCGACTCGCCTCTTTCTCTCTCTCCGCCGGCGCCCGCAAGACTTTTAGTTTGTTTGCAGTCCATTAACCAGAATCCCTAGCCGGGCTCGACTGGCCACGGCGGCGGCACGACGGCGGCGGTGGCGTGGCGGGCCCGGGCCCACCAGGGGCGCACGTTCTGCGTGCGGGGCGTGGCACAGCAATCCTTGAAGTGCCCGGCACAGTCGCGCGGCGGGCCCAAGCAATCCGTCATTGTCTAGTGTCGCGCACGCGTCAGTCCGCGCGCAGCCCCTCCGAGACGCGGGTCGGGCACGTCGGGCACCACCACCCAGACCGCCTGACTGACTGACCCACATACACTGCCCGAAGAACAGCCGTATCGCACACGGCCGAGTATTCCAATAAAAAGAATATCTTGGAATTCAAGCAGATTCCTTGAAAACTGTCTTGAAAACCAAGTAGATCTCTTGAAATCCAAGATGTAATTTTTACCGTGTTCCATGTGATGCCTGGCGGCCACAAAAATAAACTTACGGCGCCTCTTTCCGCCACGCATTGCCTTTCTCTACTTCCATCCATCTGCTCTCTTTTAACTGTTTTGTTTTCTCTCCGTGTGTTGCAGACCAATGCGGAAAGTGCCAGATCAGCACGAAGCGGCTGAACCAGCGCAAGTACTGCCGGCGGGACTACGGTGAGTTGGATGGCGCGCAGCGGGCGCCTGGGAGGTAGGCCACCGAGATGCACCCGCGTGCTGCGGGCCCGGCGCGCCAGGCGCTCCCCCTCCAGCCCAGCAGCCCCCCGGACCGGACCCGGCTTCGCGCGCGCGATTCCAGCTCCAGCAGGAGCCTCGATCCAGAATCCAATTTAGCCCGGCGGATCCAGGTGTGATCTGGAGGCGACCGTCCTGGGCCGGCTGGCCCGCGCGGCGAAGCCCCTGCGCGCACCCGGCGCGAGGCTAGGCCGGCCCCCGGCGGTTGAGAAATAGGCTCCGTCTCCGTCACCGGATATAACTAATCCCCTTCCGTTCCCTTCCAACGCGGCGGCCTGCCCAGCTCCCGACTGCTCATCAGCCCCGTGCGAGAAAGACGCGTGGCGCAGCGAGCGAAGCCCGGCTGCCCCTCTCTCTCTCCCCCGCTCCCATACAACCCCGCGCTGCTATTTGTCTGCCGCCGCCCGGTTTCAATAACAGCGATGTCGACCTCAATATCTTTCGCACCTCATATGCAATGCCGAACGAATAAAGCACCACGTCGGCTGCTAGCGGCATCCCTGGGACGTGGGGGAGAGGCAGACGAGAGAGAGAGGGAGGGGGGGGGGGCTGTAGCAACCCCTGCACCCCCGCGCGCCCGGGGGCGTCGGGGATGAGGACGGGCGGAGGGAGTGGAGCGATATGAGGAGCGCGGAGAGGGCGGGACCCCGTGGAGGCCCCCGGGGGTCGCGGGGCTGGGCAGCGTGGCGTGGTGTGGCGGGGTGGGACGGGGCGGGGAGAGATTGAAACGTGGGAACGCCGCCCTATGTAAATGGGCACAAATAGAATGCAAACAGATTGAGAACTTGCTTACGCTCTCCCGCCCGCGGGCACGGCCGGGGAGGTCCCGGACCCCGAGCCCCGGGCCGGGCGCGCCCTCCGTCCGGACCCGGGACCTCCCCGACGGCTGCCCAGCCCGCAGGGCCTCTAACTCTGTAGTTAGTTGTAAACCTCTCCGGCAGAGTTCAAACTGTTGTCAGGCAGGCCAGGGCTCCTTTATTTCGTCGCAGCAGCGGCTGCTGACAAAGTTTTTGATCTTGCTCGCGGTGTTGGTGTCGCAGCAGGGCGCGCGGGTAAAAAGAAGGGTAAACAAAAGCGAAGCTGCCGCTGCGCCTTGGGCCGCAGTGATGCGGCTGGTCCCACCACAGGGCGACAACACAGCGGAATGATATTGCCCCCCTCCCCCTCCTGCCCCCCTCCCCTCGCACGGAGAGAGTGCACTTAAGGGCCTCTGCAGTGGCTCGGCAGTGCCATGCCCTTGCAAGGGGTTGCGGTGCTCCTCCACGCCGAGGGCCGAGGGCCGAGCCCAGCAGAGACCGGCGGGGCCCCCGAGGGTTCGGGGAGGCGCCTCTAGAGGGGCCCTGGCCCGAGGGGCGCTGGCCCCAGAGGCAGTCTGGCAGTCTGGCCCGCCCCTGGAGGGCCTCGCCTCGGACCCTTGCGCTGCAGACCGCAGTGCGTTTGGCCACAACTGTCGATAGTCGAACCTACATACGCCCCTGGAGCTCGCTAAGAGGCCTTACCTTTGGTGCTTTCAGCCGTGCTGGTTCAGGTGCTGTCCCGGGAGGACCCGGTGCCCGCGCCGAACGACCCGGACATGGACGCCGACGAGCCAGAGGACTCCGACGAGGAGGACGACTACGTGGACCCGGACCGCGACGACGACGAGGACGACAGCGGCGCCGACTCCGAGGACTGGGTGCCCTTCCGGGTGTCGGTGGACACCGTCTTCAAGAAGGCGGGCGTCCAGTCGCGCCTCAAGAAGGGCCCGTCCTCGCTGTGGGTGCGCGCCACCGACCTCGCCTGCAAGTGCCCCAAGATCAAAGTCAACAAGTGAGTAGCGTGCCTCCTTCGATCGCACGCGGCGGCGGTGCGGTGACCCGGGCTGTCCTTCTGACTGGTTGTTCTGTTGCAGGTCGTATCTCATCCTCGGGAACGAGGGAGAGGGGCTGGGCGCCGGGCTCACCATCACGGAGCACTCCATCGTCATCGAGTGGCAAAAGGACTGGACGAGCCGTCTGCGCCGCTTCCAGCAGCGGTCGCGCTTCTGCATCTGAGCGGCCCAAGACGAGCAGGGCCTGGAGGGGAGGCGGGAACCGTGTGGGTGTGACTCACACGAGGCGTTAGCCAAGGTCGTTTTATTTACAAAAAATAAGCACATCCCTGGACATGAGATCCATGAAAATAGACTTTGAAAACAACGGAAAATATGGAAAAAGAGAGGAGTAAAAAAAAAGAAAAGGATCCATTTAAATTTTATTTGAAAATTTCGAAATTTCGGACAGACGCACCAATTTTCAAAAACGGCGAGAGATTTTTTAATTTAAAAAATACATGAGTTTAGTTGAAAAACTTGTTTTTAATGGTGGTTCTGCGGTGAGGATATCTTAACGCTAGTCTGAAAACATGGCCGAAACTTGTTTGAGAATAGGTGGAATGTTGGTATAAGATCCCTTTTCATTCCTAAGCCAATGTACCTGTTTAAACGTGCCAACAACAACAATATGATGCAATAACATAGATACTGAGGCGTAATAAGGCGAAAAGGGAAAGAAATTAGTTAATAGTGTCAAAACGTTTTGCGCGACTGCGACACGGACTATATGACTGTTTTTTTGTCGGTTCAACCGCCCTTAAAGAGAAAATGAAATTATAATGTCTTGGAGATGTCTCGGCTGAATCACACCAATTAATGTGAGAAAGGAAAAGCTGGAGATATTCTTAGATTGTCCTAGTACTTACAAGCCAGGGCAAGCACCGCTTACACTGTCGTTATGGTCCCAATCAAACGAGACAGCCGATAGTTACTTTTGTTATCTAAATGGTACACTGTAAAAAAACGTCTGCAATAAAACAAAAGTTTAAAGCTGTAAATTATAAACAATTTAAAACTGTAAAATTTATTGTAAATTGTAGGGTGAGTGATACCAAAGTGACACTGAAAGTAGTTTTAGACTGCACATTCGGAGAACAGTGACAATTTTTACAGTAACGAATGTAGGCCCTTTTTTACAGTGTATCATAAACATTCCATAAAAATGTGAGCGTGTTTGACTCAATTTGTAAATATGACTGAAGAGTGGAATAACGCACGTACCTCCACAATTGGCGAGGATCACAAGTCCGGTGGGCTAGATGCCCGCAGTTTGTATCATAGTGCCTAGGCTGTAGAAACTTTTACAAGCGTTGTTCGCTTAGCTCTGTTCCTATAACTTATTAATATTGTTCTAGAATGGTAAAATCAATTTGTTTATGATTGTGCTTTGTAGAAAAACAGCAATGGGTGAAAAACATTTTGACGAGGTGGTGCAATAATGCCCCTATTTATTGTTTTTATAATTAAAATGGTTGACCCCTTTTTTGAGTAGATGTAATTTTCTCACTTTTTCAATATCAGAATTTTTTATTATGTGATGCCAAAACAAACGTAGAATCAAAGTCGACGGCATAAGCACACTCACCTTTGTTCACATATCTCTGATGCAAATCACAGGCAATCAAGATTTTTGTTTAATTCTGGTAACCTGAGAAATTGAACTATTCAGGACACCAAGGGGAAACCTATTAATGTTACGTTTGTATACATATCTCTCAAAGATTTCAAGCAGTCAAGTTGTTTGAATGTAATTTTGGGTTAGCATTGTTTTGAACATCTATAACCTGTTAACCATCATTTGTCATTTTATCACTTTTTCTTGTATTTTTGTTGTCTGTGATATACCATTTTTTATTTGGCCTGTGAATTCGGTACTTCGCGCTTCCATGACAAGTGACTGGACAAAAGAAATAAGACATGCACTTACGAGCAAAATCATTTTTCCTGGACAGCAATTAGTCATCACGCCAGGCATTCGCAGTTATTGCAAAAAAAGGAATAAAGCTTTGTGAAAGGCGTCTCCTCAGTATGACACTTTTCCTTAATTGTTAGATTACGTTGTAACATTTTTATCTGTGACGCTTTAACATTTAATGCGATAACATCTATATTACTCTTGCTACCATTGATATTACCAATAAACTGACTGTACTATATGCCCGTTGTTCATTCAATCAGTCCTTTCCTATGCGGCCCGTACAACACGAACCTAAGAATAAGATTTTGAACGACCGCGGTTTCCGCCGGAGGTTGATGTAGCGCGATCGCCCGCCGCCGCCCGATGGGCTGCCCATCCCGCTCCTCCCGCGTGCACGTTGGGTTGCCTATCCCCCGGGCGCCCCTCGCTGCGCGCGGCCGAGCAGGAGGGGGATGCGCGACAGCGCTCGGCGAGAGGTGGAGCGAGCGAGGCGCCAAACGACCGGGCGAGGAGGCCAGCGGCCGGGCCAGCTTGATAGAGGAACTCGGACGTCCTCCAATCGCGGCCCACCGCCCTCCTCAATAAGGAGTCCCCGCGGACCGTTGCTGCGGACAGCACCAGGCCGTCCCCGGGCCGTCCCCGCGGCTGTTCACTGGACAGTCTGCGGGGAGCACTCCCACTTTTACTGCCCACGATAATGGCGGGCACATCGCAACGCCCCCTGTCCTCCTGCGCCCCGCCACGCCCGCACCATACACGCCCCAGACGACCGTGGGTCCATCCACACCGCCGCGGATACAAACTTTGACCCTCCTCCACCTTCGCCTCCGAGTACACGCTCTTCTTCCACGACCCGATAGAGGAAGTTGCGTAATTATCAGATACCTTCGCGTCCAACGTATATAATTGCTGAGCTTAACTTGAACTTGTTGCTGAGCTTAACTTGAACTTGAAATTGAACTTTAACTTTGAATGCTCAGCTCTGTCAGGAAGCGCAAGGGGAGTCCGCCCGGAAGACGGCGTGAAGTGAGGCGCCTCGCGTGAGACGTGGGATGTGAGGTGGACAGGCATGCCAACCAAAATCGCGAAAACATTTTAATTTTAGCGCGCCGCAGGCCAAGGTAGACGCACATTTTGCTCAGCTTCACACGGTTTTAACGTGCGTCTACCTTGTAAATAAATAACAAAATAAGGAAAACAGAAAAATTGCTGAATGAATACATTTACACTGAGGTACCCCCTCACCCCACACCATTGGACAACCAGGAGGGTGTCCAGGTGTCCCTTCCGGTCTTTCCATCCCGTTTCTCCGTCCCTCTCTCCTCATCTCTCTCGCAACCTCTCGCGTCCCCCGCTGCCGTCGTCTCTTCGTCCTGCAGGACCAGATAAACCATAAAGAGTGGCGCCTCCGGGGAAATCACGCGGTTTACATGAGTGGGCGCGACTTGTAACGCCGCGGCGGAGGAGCGACGACCCCACCGGCAGGGTCAGCCGCAGCCGGCGGCAGCCACCACCACCACCCCCTGTACACACGGCACCTGTTTGCGGGCTGTGGACACAACGGGGATTATCCTATCCTCGGATTGCTCTGGAGACTTAAGTGTGTACATGTACGCAGAAAAAGTGCGTACCTGGCCGTGTAGAAATGCCGAGTGCATACCTTGCTACGTACATACTTGGGCACAAGGTCACAAAGCCGCCTTTACGCAAAAGAACGCTGACACGCAACACTGTCGTTGTCGTTAACAGTTTAACTATCATTGCTGTAGTATCAATCCTAGTGAAATGCCCCCAGGAAACAGTCGATTTTTTATTATTATTAAACGTGTGGATTTCTTCTGTGCAGTGCGCCGTCTGTTACCTCAGCGCGCCCAGACGTGGGCCGCGCTGATGCGATCCATCCATTCGATTAAAATTGAGGCGCGCGCGCGCCGCACCGGCGTGAGAGGAGGCTGGGAGGGGGTCGAAATTACAAACAAACCAAATAAATAAATAATAATGCATTCACGATGTCACAAATCTCGGCGGGCGGCGGCGGCGGCGCGTCGGAGAAGCAGGGGGGCGGGGAGGAGCGCGCGGGGATATAACGATGGTACAAGGAGCGCGGCTGCGGCGGCGCGACTCGCACCTTGTTGGGCCGCCGAATATGGAGAGGAGCTCGACGCGCCGCCAGGTGCGTGGGCAGCGGCGTAGCAAAGGCAGGGCAGGTGGGGACTGCAGCAGCTGCAGCGCCTGGGGGACTTCCCTGATGCCTCCCGCACTTCAACGCGCCTCCAGCTGCAGCGGTGTTGCATACAGCCAGACAGGTCAGGTGGCGTCAGCGGCAGAGAATATAGGGACTTCCCTGCCTGCCGCACACCAAACGCACCTAGCTGCAGCAGCGTAGAAAACAGGGCAGATGGGGACTGCCGCAGCTGCAAGCGCCTGCCTTCCGGACTCCAATGCACCTCCAGCTGCAGCGGCGTAGCAGATAGGTCATGTGGTGGCTGCAGCACCTGCAGGTGGAGCGCGCCTAGGGACTTCCCTGCCCTCCGCACTCCAACGAGCCGCCGCCCTCTTGGAATTATTTTTATTGCGCCATTCGCCTGGCTCTTCATTTTCCTGACACGGAAGGGGCCTTCCCGCGCCGGCCTGCCTCGGCACCTCAAAACCAACGATGGGGAAGTGGGGGAGCAGGAGCAGGGGGCTCTAACTTTTCGTTTGGGTCTACGGCGGTGGACTCGCCGCCCGGCGTGGGACGGATGAGCGAGAGAAAGAGAGACGGAGAGAGAGAAGTAGGAGGTGCTACCTAATTAATTGGGCACCTCTGCAGCCTGGCGCGGCTTTGGCTGCACGCGGCTGCGTCCGCGGCGGCGCGGCCGCCAGAGCCGGCGGCTTCTTGCCCTGCAAGACCGCGGCCGCCCGCTATCCGCACGCAGCCGCCCAGTCGGACATGGCGCCGGAAACGGCGCAATCACTCACGATGGGCGCGGCGGGGCCCGGCCGACGGGGAAGCCCGCTGTTAGACACGCGGACGCACACGCGCTCCCGATCGGCCGGCGCCGGACTAAATGGCACATTTGTAAGGTTTTAAAAGCCTCCCTCCTTCAAAGAGTGGCTACGGTTTGGAGGCGTTTAGAGCGGCAGTGGATCAGAAATCGGAAAATCCAGCAAAGTTGGGCCACATTGTGACCGCACGGATGACGCATACTGCTGATTCTGCTCCTGGTGTAGCCCGACGCATCCTCGCAGAACTTGGCCACATTGTGGCCACCACGCCACACCGCACAGAATGCACCCTGCTAGGCTGGCGCTGCCCGACGCGTTGTCAGCCCCTCGTCCCCGTGGGCACGTCGCCCAGCACTAGTTTGGGAATGGGCCCCACGAGGGAGAAAGAGGCCGGAAAATGGTTCTGGCCGAGCGAGGCGGAGCGGGGCGAGGCGCGGCGGTGTGTTCAAATTAATTTCCTCCACTGCGATGTAGTTGTGTGTGTACATTGTGTACATGTATATATACTCTGGAGAGCGCGCCCTCATGCTAATGCTGGGCGGCGGTGGCGAGGCGCTCCCGCCCGGCGCGACCACCCAAAAATACAAAACAAAAAATGCAGAAATAAAAACAAAATAAAGAGCATGGAATCCGGCAGATTGCGAGCTTAGTCTGCATGGCGCGGCGTGGCGGGCGCCAGGGCTGCTGTGGGTAGTGAAGTGAACACACCCAAGGGCCGCTCGCTGTCCTACGAGAGGAGAGGGGCGGGAGTGGAGGTGGGGGTGGAGGTGACGCGAGGCTGCCGGAAAATGCAAAAAAGGGAAAGGCAGGGGGTGGGGGAAATGTGAAATGAAAAGAAAACGGAAGAGAGGAAAGGGGGGCCCGCGGGGGAGGGGGGATAAAAAGAAGCGAGCAGAATGCACGTACGTTTCTGCACAATAAGCCCGACGCAATACAATTACCCAAATCGGCAGCCATCGTTCGCGGGGCGCTGGCTGCGCTGCTGGCTGCCGCGCCTGCGGATGCCAACTGCCATGGGGAGGCGCGGTGGTCGCGGGGCGTGGAGCAGAGCAGAGCAGAGCGGCCTATGGTCCAATCACCAAGCGCGGAGAACGGCTGACAACATTCGTGATCCTTTACTGTTTTAAACAAAAAGGACATTAATGCGCCCGATGTATTTAGGAAACGAAAACGCCTCCTCAGGGCGTGGCGTGGCCGGCGCGGGAGGGGCGCGTGGAGCGGCCAGCGCGGCGGCGCCTACGAGAGTCGTTCGTTGTTAACTAATTTGAATAGACAAACAGTATCGATCAGGGAGGGGATCGTTCGCCAACGCACTGCTCGGCTCGCGCTGGTAGATTCAGAGGTAGCCACCCGGAAATGTGGACCATCTATACTCATCCCGCTTTTCCAACTTTGGGCTTGGCCTGACTGTTCAGGATGTCAGAATCCGACTCCACAAAGAGCTTCACATTCTCAAAACAAGTGAACTCACCAGTTTGTTTCCAAAAATTGTGTGTGTTCTGACGGATCGCAGTTACTCTGGAGTGTTCTCTTTTCCCGAGCAATTACTGTTCACGCTTCCTTAAACTCTCCCCGTCCCTTCGTGCGCCCACAGCAGCGGTGCCCTTCTCTCGGGCCGCGTCCGAAAGTCTCCAGAGTATGGAACCCCGCGCTTACGCCTCGCGCTCGCTCCGCCCCAACAGCCACTGCCTCCGAAAACCTCTGCCGAAAACGCATTAATTGGTGACGCCGATGTTGTTCATTTTCTTTTCATTAACTCGAGCAGCGCGGCCGATGTCGTCGTGCCCGCCGCCCCGCATCTCTCCGCGCGACGCGCCCCGCCCTCCGCGCGGAGTCAATTCCGAAATCATATTTCCATTTAATTGGTGTTGCATTTTATTTCCTAACCGCAGCAATAACCACGGTCATTTTCGTGACAGCGCGCGCGCGCGCGGGGAAGGGCGGCGGCAGTAAGCGACGGAGAGACTGTCAGTGCGAGGAGGGGCGGGGGA